GTCTACACCTCAAACGTCGTCTATCAAGAAGTTTTACGTGATGAATAAGGTATAATCAACAGTTATATCATTACACATTTTGTACCATATGTTTCTATTAAAACCATTGCGCTGTTTTTTGCAGGAAATATTTACGGATGAGTGCATCACGAAAAACAAACAATAGTTCGAATATACGGATGAACATTATTTTACGAACGATTGTATTTCTTTGTTCATTCAAGAATTTCAAGTTTTGTAACGAGCTATGAGTAGATGGTTTCAGAAATCCGACATATATGCAATTTTCTTTTCATTTGATCTTGCTAACAAACAAAATTGACCTTCAACTTTATATATTAGTTGACTTGTAAAATAACCACATAAACTCATGATTCAAAGCCAAACTAATGTTTTCGAATTGTGATTTACCCGCGCTGCATCGCGCGGGTACACCACTAGTATATATAAATACACACACACACATTATATCATATATATATATATATATACATACAATAGGTGCAATGGGCAAACCTTATTTTGTTGATTTCTATAATCTATGTACCCTTTTACTTGAATATGGTTTTGCTAAGAGGCATGTTTATAGGTTCAAGTGATCATTGATTTGTTCATGATATGGGAATTCCTTTTACAATCAATCTTTGATATTTGCACCCCATTATAAGAAGAGGAAAGAAAATACAAATGAGTTTCATTGCCCTCAATTGGTATCGAGTTTTTTTTTTTCTAATATTGTGTACTAACCAATTACAATTGATAAACAAAATCTTATATCTTGTAACAACAAACTTAACTGGTACCAACTTATTTCAATTGATACATATTGGTAATAGTGTTCAAACTATGTATTTTGAAGATTTATTATATAAAACCATAGTAAACAAAGTACATAAGAAAAGAATACACTTACTTGTAAAGGATCTACTACTGCTTTAAACGAAAACTAGAAGAACTTATTGCTAATCGTCAACAATTTAATGAAACAAGAATGTATAAAACTAGAGAGAATAAAACTGATTTTGAAATGTAGAAATGAAGAAGTGAGCTCCAAATCAGTCGTATTGGCCCTTCATATATCTTTCAAAGATTGATTAAATTTCCTCTTCAAGTTTGATTGATGTGTTCCGCTGCCCTTGTACTATCTTAAAGTTAGGCGTAGTCCTTTTGTTATGCCAACCAGCTAGACTTTTAAACTTGACACATTCTACCCTATTATGTTAACAAAGTAACAAACAAGGGCAGCAAGTCAAGTTAGAGAAAGTCAAGATTGTAATTTATATGAGTATTTTAACACCCACCCTCAATCTTGACTTTTAAAAAAGTCAATCATTTTCAATTTAGAACACAAGTAATTGTGATGTGTAATATTTAGGGCTTTGGTTAAAATATCTACTGTTTGTTCAAAAGAAGAAATTTTTACAATTTTTAAAACACCTCTGCAAATTTTTTCACGAATAAAGTGAACATCAATCTCAATGTGTTTGGTTCGCTCGTGAGAAACAGGATTATTTGCTATTTGGATAGCAGATTTATTATCGCAAAACAAACTAACAGGAAGAAGATTATTTATATTCAGATCAGACAAAATCTTAAGAACCCAAATAACTTCACAAGACACAGTAGCCATAGCCCTGTACTCAGACTCGGCGGATGAACGAGAAATAATGTTTTGTTTCTTACTTTTCCACGAAACTAAAGAATTTCCAAGAAGCAAACAATAACCAGTAACAGACCGACGAGAGGATAAACACTTACCCCAATCAGCATCTACATAAGCAGTAAGATTAAAAAATTCTGACCTGTAAAGCTGATTCCTTTTCCAGGTGACAATTTAAGATGTCTGAGAATTCTGAGTGCTAGATTTAAATGAGACTGTCTGGGAGCATGCATAAACTGACTCAAACAGTGAACATCAAATGCAATATCAGGCCTAGTGACTAAAAGATAAATCAATCTGCCTATTAACCTTTGATACCCAGTACAGTCAGTCAAGAGAGAATCTTTAGAATTATTTGAATCTGAAAAAACTAAGTTTACATCCATAGGTGTAGATGAAGGCTTACACCCTAAGTTTCCAAAATCATTTAATAATTCCAAGCAATACTTTCTTTGGGACATGCAAATACCATTAGTACATTCAAGGATTTCTATTCCTAAAAAGTATTTCAATTTCCCCAAGTCTTTGATTAAAACTCTGATTTTAAGTACTCTTTGAAACTATTTATTTCTTTTAAACTATTTCCTATTATTACGATATCATCTACATAAACAAGAAGCACAAGAAAAATAGAGTCAACATGTTTTGTAAACAACGGATAATCACTTATACTTAGCACAAAACCATTTTCATTTAAACAAGCTGAAAGTTTGGCAAACCATTGACGAGGAGCTTGTTTTAAACCATACAATGGTTTAACCAATTTACAAACACGGGTATCCTCAGAACTATAATACCCTTCCGGAAGGGTCATATAAACATCTTCAACACGATCACCATAAAGAACAAGGTACGGGCATCACAAATTCTTAGTTATGCCATTCGGCTTAACTAATGCGCCCGCAACCTTTATGGATTTAATGAATAGAGTATGTAAAGAGTATCTTGATAAATTCGTTATTGTATTTATCGATGATATTCTTACATACTCTAAGACCAAAGAAGAGCACGCGGAACATCTTCGTCTGATATTGGAATTGTTGAGAAAAGAAAAGTTGTATGCAAAATTGTCTAAATGTGAGTTCTGGTTAAGAGAAGTTCAATTCTTGGGTCATGTCATCTCAGAAGCAGGGCTAAAAGTGGATCCAACAAAAATAGAGACAGTTGCAAGATGGGAAGCTCCGAAAAATCCTTCTGAAGTCCGAAGCTTCTTAGGATTGGCTTGTTATTATCGTAAGTTTATTTAGAACTTTTCTAAAATAGTCGTGCCATTAACTAAGTTGACTCGAAAGAACGTTAAATTCCAGTGGGAAGGAGAACAGCAAGAAGCCTTTCAATTATTAAAAGATTATCTTTGCAGTGCACCGGTATTAACTCTACCAGATGGATCTGAAGACTTTGTGGTTTACAGCGATGCATCAAAGTTAGGGTTAGGATGTGTTCTGATGCAGAGAGGAAAAGTGATTTCTTATGCATCAAGACAATTGAAAGATCATGAGAAGCAGTATCCAATCCATGACATGGAATTAGCTGCAGTGGTGTTTGCTCTGAAAATCTGGAGGCATTATCTTCTGGGAACAAAGTGTCAGATTTACACTGATCATAAAAGTTTACAACATTTGTTCAGCCAGAAAGAATTGAATATGCGATAGCATCGGTGGATTGAACTAGTTAATGATTATGATTGTGAGATCCTATACCACCCGAGAAAAAGCAAACATGGTAGCTGACGCTTTGAGCAGAAAAGAAAAGAGCGGAACCATTAAAGCTGTGGCAATGAGAATGAACTTGATCCCCGACATTCGTAAGGAAATTCGGAGATGCCAACAAGAAGCTATAAAAGAAGAATTTGTTAAAGTAGAAAGGTTGGGTAAGATGATTTCAACCTTGGAACATAATAATGAAGGACTAATGTGCTTTTAAGGGCGAGTTTGGATACCATGTTTTGGAAATATCCGAAATATGATATTAAATGAAAGCCATAAGTCTCGATACTCTATTCATCCAGGCACCAATAAGATGTATAGAGATTTGAAACCTTTTTATTGGTGGCCAGGATTGAAAAGAGACATAGCTCGATATGTGGAACAGTGTCTGACATGTTTACAGGTTAAGATTGAACATCATAAGCCGTATGGAAGTCTTCAATCTTTAGAGATACCTATATGGAAATGGGATCACATTACCATGGATTTCGTTATGAAATTACCTCGAACTCCAAGGGAATACGACGCAATTTGGGTAATTGTTGATCGTCTGTCCAAATCTGTGCATTTTTTCCCAATAAGAGAGATGTACTCTTTAGAAAAGCTGGCGCATATTTATATCAAAGAAATTGTTACCAGACATGGTGTTCCATTATCTATTGTCTCTGATAGAGATAGTCGGTTTACTTCAAAGTTCTGGGAAAGGTTATAGAAATCTTTGGGATTTGAAATTCGACTAAGTACAGCTTATCATCCGCAAACTGATGGGCAGAGTGAAAGAACTATCCAGACTCTTGAAGATATGTTGAGAAGTTGTATTATTGACTTCGGGGGATCGTGGGAAGATCACTTGCCATTTATAGAGTTTGCATATAACAATAGTTACCATTTCAGCATCCAAGCAGCACCGTATGAAGTGTTGTTGGACGTAAATGCCGAACGCCATTGTGTTAGAATGAGGTAGGTGAAAAACAGCTGACGG